TAATCATTTCATTCACAAGCACTGCTAGCAATGACCTTGTGATCTGAAACACCAAAAGGAATCAGAGCTCCTTGGAGAAGTGGCTGATTCCAAGTCTAGAGTAGGAAAATATTAAAATAAACTTGAAACATCTTATACGGAGAGAAAGAAAGCTGTCAAATATTTATTAGGAGTATTGCTGAAAGAAGCACACTAAAGGGTCTCTCACAAATGAGTGGCCAGTGATGGGCTGGTAGCATCAAGAAGGGTGATAATTGTCATGGATTGAAACACAGAAGTTGGAATTGATGAGCTTTTAATGATACTAAAAAAATACTATGGATCGGCAAAAAGAAGATGGACTATGAATAACAATGAGAAAATGCTACTAACCAGCTCACTGTTTTGAAAAATTGTGTTTTAGAATTTATTTTTCCTTTTCACATATGAACTTTAGGATAATCAAATAGTACTTGGGAGAAGGCCTTGTTTGTAGAAATCTTCTAGCTAGTGAGAAAGAAACATCCCCAAATGAGTTAATGGCTCTCTGTGGTGAGCCTCGGGAGCTGCTGACCTGGAGGAAATGAGAGACACCCAGGTATCGCATGCCTCCCAGGAAATACAAACTATCCCTGATGACAGGTCAGGGCAACAAAATCACCCTGGATATGGTCATGGCTTTCTGTGCAATGACTGATCTATAAATGATCTGGGACAGAGGCACATGCCACCCAGCACCAGAGAGATGTACCAAAAAAATCCAAACTGGGGGCTACTCTTCAGGACAAATGACCTGGTTTCCTCAATAGACAGGGAAATCTATGAGTTATAAAATATTTGAGTCCTATCAACTAATTGCCATATAAGGCTCTGACTTGGACCCTAATACAAACTATAAAATGCTATATTTATCAAACAATTGAAAATTTGGTCACTGCCTGGACATTTGGTAATATTTAAAAGCATTAACTTTTATTAGTACATATTGGAATGTTTGTGGATTCAATGATGTGATGTGTAGGAGTTGCTTCTAGTTAACATGGCAGTGAAGAGGGTAGTACGATCAATGGAACAGGATTCTTATGAATGACTGGGGCCTGGGGTTCATTAGACTATTCTGTCATCTTCTGTGTATGTTTGAAATTCTCTAAATTAAGAAAGGTAATAAAATAAATATGTTTAGATTCTTGTTGTATGTCCCTTCAGACAAGCTCACTCCATAGTATAAGTTCTCTAGTTTCCCAGGGCCGTCATTCTGGCTATTTATTCATTATACAAATATTTTTGAGCAGCCTGGTTGGCACTGCGTAGGCAAGGAAGAAGGTGCTTGTTACAAGAAGTTTATAGTCTGTTTAGAGGACCACACACATGTGCACAAAACAGCACTCAGCCACGGGCAGCAATGCTTGGGGGATTAGCTGGATTACACAGGCAGCAGGCTGTCTGGGGCATAGATCACCACTTTCCATACCATGGGTCGGCATCTCCATCATCTCTCATGTTTTCTAGGCATGGAGGTTCTTTTTCAAACTAGACTGTAATGGCCTGAAAAAAAAAAAAAACAGCCATTAATCATCTAGATTGAGTTGAATAGTCCTTGACCAATGGGCATTAAAAAAAGATGAAAGGTTATCCAATTTCTAGAACCCATATTATAGGAAATTCTGAAATGCAGCAATAAGCCCTCATCAGCTAGTGCTAACATTTTGATTTCATTCTTGTCTGAAAATGTTTTAAAAATCATTTCTTAATGCTCACGTATTTTAGGGTATACGTTTAAAATCTAGTGTAATTGCTAATGCGGAAGATTTTCTCCACATTTATTATCCATAACTTTTTCTTTCCTAAGTGCCTTATCTACATATGTGCATAAATTTTAGTTAATGTCCTGAATTAGTTCTATAAACACTGTCTCGCCTGTCCAATGTTTTTTCCAAACGCCTCTGCCAGACAGTCACTTCTCTGGTATATTAATATTAGTGATTAGCTTGAGTGGTTTCTTGAGAGCTTGTTCTCACTTTTTCACCATGAAGTCATGTGTGAATCTAGTTTTAGTTAAAGTAATAAACATTTGTTACATGCTTGGAAAAACTCTCTGACTAGACATGAGCTCATCTGAATGTTCACTTTTCACATATGCTGGTGGAAAAGGATATGGATGGAGAGAGGATTATTTTTTTTTATTTCCTTTCTACATATGAGTGTAAAGTAATTTTCCAAAAACTCATGATATTGTCCCATTTTCTCTCTCTTCCAAAGCAATGATTATCTTAAAGTCTGAGTTAACACAGCTGTCTTTCATTACTTTCAGGGCGCAAGCATCACTCACTCACACTCCCCCAGAGCCAGCTCCGACCCTAAGGAGTGCTTTCTCGGTTCAAAGGGAACCTTCGCTGAGGCTGTGCACATGTGCCTTCTCCTCCGTCCATATAATTGGAAAATGCCATAAAATTAAAATAAGGGGAGGGAGGCGCTTATTTCACGTAGGAGCAGAATTATGCCAGTTCATCTAAATTATTTTTTTCTTTTGGAGATAAACCATGGTCGCTGACTATGCCTATAAAAATAACCTTTCATTATTCCATTAAGATTTCTGCTGTTTACATCACTGAGGTTTTTTAGTTTTGCTCTGTTGTGATAATTGAAGATGAATGTTCCAGCCTTAGGCTAACTTCTTTTTGAGACAGGACACTGTCCAGTTCAGGAAATCTTGATTGAGGAAAAGAGTGGTGGAGAAATCCCTCTCAGTTCTAGTACTGAACTTGGTACCCAGAAAAAATGATGGGGTTTGGAGGCTGGCTGGATGTATGAATAGTGAAGTGATCTTGGCGGCATTATTTTTATGGCCGCTCGTGAGTCTTAGTGTCTTTATCTGTAAAGAGAAGGCAACATTAGATCAATAGTTCTTGAAGGGGCTGCCCTTTAGGATTTCCTGGGAATGTAGTCACAAGAGCCTCAGTCTCTCCCCAGAAATTCTGATTAAATCTGTCTGGGTAGGGTCCTGCTTCCTGTTTCTTTTTAAAGCCTTCCTAGGTGTTCTAATGGGAAGGAGTCAGGGGTGAGAGCCAGGGTAGCACTTCAGATCACCTGGAGGGCTTGATAAACACAGAGTTAGACCTCCCTAGGGTTTCCTATTCAGTGGGTCCAGGCAGCTCTGAACAAGCTCGCAGGAGATGCTCTTCCTGCCCCTCTCTGCTGGTTGCTAAGTCTGGAGACTCTCACTGAGAACCACCTGATTAAATGACCCCTGAGACTTCCAGGTCCCACCTTCTGTGACCGAGGCCCTGTGTTACTTCCCTGCTTGTCCTGGAGGGGAAGAACCTGCTTCCTTAAGTTCTCTGAGAGCCTTTGCAAGACCTTTTTTGTAACCACTATCCTTACTGGAACACAGGAGTGTGGCTTTGAGTCTTTTGTTGCAAGCAAATGTTTCCCATAGTTAAAAATGAGCGAGTTTCTTATGCCCTCCCAACCCCCGACCTGTCGGGGAGTGGAGCCTGGTAATTTTTGAAGAAGGAAAAACAAACTGCTATAAATATTTCTGACTGTCAGGCAATTCATTTTCCTTATCTTTATTAAATTGCCCAGAAGGCAGTAATTGGTCTTTGGCATGGTGTGAAGACTGGTTGTACAATTCCTCTGGCAACAGTGAAGATGCTTCATTTGAATAGAGCTGAGCCATCTTCAGGGGCAGGTCTGGCTTCAAAGCCTTGTATAAAGTTTTAACAGCTGGGATGGAAGATGGACAGGGACAGTATTTGAAGTCTTTTTCTTTTTTTGTTCCCTGCCAGGATGACAAGGATTTGGTGCATGAGTTTGTAGTGGCTGAAGGGCTGACATGTTTGATCAAGGTGGGAGCTGAGGCTGATCAGAACCACCAGAACTACATCCTGAGGGGTAAGTCCTGTTGGGGTGGCAGTTCACTGCCAGGGACTTAAATACTGAGCCTTGTAAAAGACTTGGATTCTTGGGTGAGATGGTACAAAAACCCTCTGGCCAAAGATATCTTCATCAAGTTTTATCAATTCTTAGCCCTTAATGACAGGGAATGTTACTGACTTTTTCTGGGAGTTATTAGGACAAGATCACGTACTGCTTACTGGGTCCTCTATAGCAGGGGTCCTCAAACTTTTTAAACAGGTGGACAGTTCACTGTCCCTCAGACCATTGGAGGGCTGGACTGTGGGTCTGGGAAGAGTCACCTGCTAAGCAGGACAAGCAGCTGTGGCAAAAACACCTGGCAGGCCAGATAAATGTCTTTGGCAGGCTGCATGTAGCCCACGGACAATAGTTTGAGGACCCCTGCCAATAACCTTTTGTATTTGGTGAGGAGGGGGACACACTAAATGGGCTAGGGGAGAGCCTGCCTCTCAGCCGAAATCCACCTCAAACCAAAGGAGCCTCATTTATTTTTTGGGAAGAAATATTTTCCCCCATCTAAGTTATCACTTAGAGCTCTTGTCAGGTGTGCACATGATTCGGTAGGTCAGGAGTGGGTTCAAGAACTTGCATTTTAAAGAGTGATTCTGAAAATTGCCCCTCTGATTTCATTTATGAAGTAATGCTGTGTGGAGTTTCAAGCACTGATTCCTGTTCCACTTCACAAAGTTAATGGTCCTTTTATGGTTGAGGATTTTTTTGTGCACCTTTGTGTAAATAATTTTATATGATCCTGTTTAAAAAAAGAATCTGTGAATAAGCAGGGCAGGATTATTAGGTTGGACCATATGAAATTGTTGCTAAAAATTTTGAACTATCGAAAGAGGAATTTGATACACTTCGGTATCATTTCCACTTTGAAGTTGGAAAAAATCCAGACGCCAAGGAGTGTTTCACCTTGTAAAGTTACTTCCTCACGTCAGGCAGCGGCTGTGCCCAGGCACTGGGGCATGTTAAGACCGGTCAAGGTTTTGCTGTCCCCTCTTTGTCTGTGCTGATGACTTCACAAATGGCTTGTTTCATGTTGATATAAGGAAAAAGAAAACTCTAAGCCTGTTCTTTTCCCTCAGATGAAAGAAAAATACCTGAAAAGTGTGATTTAATATAAAATCTTCATGGTTCAAGTCGAATGAGACCGGCAAACTGAAACAGTCCTATCAGCTATTTTTGTTTGTTTGTTTGAGACAGAGTCTCACTCCATGCCTTGGGTACAGTGCCCTGGCATCCTAGTTCATAGCAATTTCAAACTCTTGGGCTCAAAAGATCCTCCTATCTCAGCCTCCCAAGTAGTTGGGAGGCCACAGGCGCCTGCCGCAATGCCCAGCTAGTTTTTCTATTTTTCGTAGAGATGGGTTCTCTCTCTTGGTCAAACTGGTCTCAAAAGTCCTGAACTCAAGGGATCCACCCACTCAGCTTCCCAGAGTGCTGGGATTACAGGTATGAGCCACCATGATGACCATTTCAGCCGTTTTGTTGTGCCTGGAGAATGATTCCTCATGTTCTGTGTTGTTATCTAGCACATCAGAACTCAAAGTCCTCCTCCCTTCCCATCTCCTTGAGAGCCACTGTAACAGAAATGAAAACTTAGGGCTCATTTTTAAAAAATTAAAAAATTTAGGGGCGTTTTAAAAAAATCAGTGTTGTTTTCATTCATTTGGATAAATGTCAAAGATGTGTGTGGGAGGAGGGCTCTTCAGCTCATGTTTTGCTGCACTGTGCTGGGTACTGGATGGTGTTTGGGAGGATGGGATCAGTTCCTTTTGTGCCCATTCAGGCTTTTCCTGGGCTTGTGGTGGATCCCCAATTACATGATGTCAGTAGAGATGCTTTATTAATCAATGTTAAGATTTCTTTCTCATATAATTCAAACATTTATATGAAAGCTGTTATGGCATGTGCAGAGAAATTAACAACCATTAGCTCTGTCTTAATGTTTTACATCTGACTATAGCCATCTTTCTGTCTAAAGAGAGGGTTTGGGTTGGATTCTCAACCTTATGTTTCTGTTCACTCTGGCCCAACATTTTAGAATAAAGGAAGGCACAGAAATGAGGGTGGGAGAACTTCTTTTGGTTTATTTTCCAGGTGGGGATGTCTACCTATTAAAATGCGTGACAGGACATATAACTAGGATTGCGTAATTCTGAATATTGGGTCCATATGGGCCATTATATATATATTTTTTTACTAATGTTCTAAGTGTGTATCACTTTAACTTTATGAAAAATGTCCATCACACAGAGACACACCTGTATGGAACTAATGACCATCTGTATGTTTATTTTTCTGACCCTTGTCTAGAAGCATATATGTGCATTTCCATACAGTGATCATCGGTACAAGCATCTACATTTATCTACATCTGAG